CTCTTAAGTCTCTTGCCCACAGAACCTTAAATGGAGTTATTACTTTCAATTTCGTGCTGGTTATAGGAGTCTCCTCCCATCCGGAGAAATTAAATTATGAGGAAACTTTAAAAAGTTTAACCAGGTTTCGGGAAACCTAATCCAAAGTAATTATGGCTTCAATCAATCACTTTTCATTGACCATGAATAAATATATACGAGTACAAACAATTTGCTGATAGCAACCTCACAAAAAATTGTTCTTTACTCGATGTTTTGTTAGAGTTTAATACGGAAATATCGATAATTTTTCAAGCAGCGTCTACTACAGAAAATCCATATCCTCGATGTTATGTTCGTTCGTAATTGCTGATACTTCTTTTGCTCGTTAAAAAAGTATCATAAAGTAAAAAGTATCACATAAAGTACTTCAGTATCATCTGCGAATGTAGATGTAACTTTTTTATGAGCTATAAACAGCAAGTAAATCCTGGTATGATGACCTGGTAATCACCACCACTTTAAAAGTCATTACAAGCTAATGCTCGAAGCCTGGCCAGGGCGCGGAAACGCCATTTACATTCGAGTTGGCAAGCGAATGATGCTGTTTGGTATTCGTTCCAGATAAAGTATTCTCAGAACCTGCATCCATTACACGGACCTTCTAAATTTTCCTAACTTGATTATGTATTCGGTTTCTAAAGTCGTTTAATTATGGCTTCCTGCCAATAAATTTGTGGGCATCTTAGGGAGCCTCCCAAGCCCAAGCCAATAATTATAGGCAAAGACTCAGCCTTCCTTGGCGCGAGGAAAGCCGGCATCCGCAGACAGATGAGCGCGACTCACTGCGTTCAAGATGAGAAATTCACACACAAAATATTTTTCAATATATGAACACTAAATTTGAGATTCACGAATGTTTTCTGCGTGGAATCTTATGAGCTGGTGAGAGAATCTCAATGGTAGAAGCCGAGATTTGGATAGAACTCAAAGAAATGCCCGTGTCATGGTGGAATCTTAGGCGAGTTCGACAGTCGAAAACTCAAGCGTAAGCCTTAATTTGGATCTGATTGAGCTGTCGGCGAGCGTATGTAAGGACACGGAGGAAAACTTTCACCGTCGTTCCTTGTACGTGAATGTTGTGAGGCAAGTGTACAATATTGAGAGTACTGACAAGGAATGTTACTAGTGAGGATACATTAGGAGTATCACATGAGTGATGAGACTAGGAATGTCAGAACACTTGTATAGTGACAGACATCTTGAGAAACATGACTATACTACTGCTGTGAGACAGACTGCAAGAAATGACAGTTTACGTGTTGTGAAGCATGTCTGAACACATATGTTGTGAGGCATGACAGATGCCGTGTTGTGAGGCATGTCTGAACACATATGTTGTGAAGCATGACAGATGCCGTGTTGTGAGGCATGTCTGAACACTTATTTTGTGAGGCCTGTCAGATGAAATGTTGTAAGGAATGTCTGTGCTCTTATTTTGTGAGGCATGACAAATGACGTGTTGTAAGGCATGTCTAACACTTATTTTGTGAGGCATGACAGATGAAATGTTGTAAGGAATGTCTGTGCTCTTATTTTGTGAGGCATGATTCGAGATATGAAGGTAAGTTTTTAAGTTGCTAGGCATGTTACTGGGCATGCCAGTGTACATGTCGAGAGGCATGTCAGCATAAAAGTTGATGTCACGTCAGTGAATATTCTTTATGAGGGCTTGAATTTTGCTTCAGATAACTTTTGTGAATAATGTTCACCTTATCAAAAAATAAATTGAATAAACACTTTTGATATTCATACTCCTAGATTTTTCATTGTACAGTTTTAGGTCCCATGACTTTCTAAAGGCTGTTATTACACGCATGTTTTGACTACCACTAATGCCGATGCACATGCACATGAAACGCCCTTTAATTTTATGGACGCTTTCTTTAGTCCGGCCAAAAATGTAACGCTCATCTGGACAGGTTTGGAAGAGACCGCTGATGAGGCGTAGCTAACTGAACTCATTGAAAACCGCCTGAAACACAGCAAAGAGTTCCTGAGAAAACCCTGAACCTTTTCTGCATACGAAGAGCCTCATTTGTATAATGTATCAAAGTAATTTTGATATGATGGTGCAAATGTGATCGTTTGGAGGCGCTCATAACGATCGCTGGTTGCTGCTCATGAATAGAAATTGTTGCAAATAATGCAAAAATTGCAGCATCAATGTAATACTAAATTTTCCATGCACCAAAAATATTTTTTATCATGAACTGCTTTCACTCGCCGAACCCTCGACCACCTTAATAGGAATACCTCGGGGTTCTCAATTTTTCTGGAAACTTCAACGCCGCAAAAAGTAGTGATCCATTTCCGAGAGAAAAGTAAGATGGCTGTTGAAATTAACCTATTACATGTACACGAGTAAAAATCTGGTAATTTTAAACCATCAGCATTAATAAATATACAAAATTTCACCAAAAACTCATAACATAACGGCGATTATGATCTCACTAACGAAGGGTTCAGAAACTATTACAAAGCTGGTAAATTTTATCACGCAAACTGCCATACATGGCTAGAGCTCCTTGTTACAGGGTGGTCTTTATTTACACGCAATAGACCTACTTTTATGAGTACTTGAAATGTTCAGACAACAAAGCAGTGAATAACGCACACTGACCGCCTCGCAAACTATTGCCGTTCCATTTTAAACACGCGTTCCAAACGCAAAATAGTAGAATAATAAGAAAGGATTTTTTACCTGAGATCTCGTATTATGAAAATCCATCTCAGCCCTGTGTTTTCAAGCTGAAAAATGTTCAACTCTGCGAGTTTAATACTGGATTCATTCGGTTGTTCATGGGCAATGCTATACATACAATAGCGTATTTAATCACACGCGTGTGTGTTCTTTTTTTTATTCCACTGTTCTCGTATGGCGAATATTATCTATTGTTTTTGTCCATATAAGATGGGTAGCTTTATGGTTTTTCCCAAGCGCCTACGTATAAGGTTACAGATATCGTATTACAACGACTCCTAAATATCGCCGGCAGTGACTCGTAAGGAGGTCAGTATAAAGTACGAATGATTTAAGCTATATTTGAACAGTAGTTTTCGATTGTGGACGTGCAAGCGTCAACAATAGATAAATAATTGTTTCACAATTATGAGTAATTTTCGATATTCTAACAAAAAAATTAAATGTATTATATTACGTGTTTACTAATTTCATCTCTTCTGTTGCTGGTCCTGCTAGAACAAACAGCAATAATGTAGATTTATTATTGAGATTTAATATTTCACTTTACGAAGGCATAATCCGAAGGCAGCTAATCTGTTCATTATTTACCGAACACTGCGCTCCATGCAACCGCCTTACAGAGGCCGGAAGCTGCGGATGATCCGTCAATGCGTGCGTAGATTAGTGAATATGAAAGGCGGAGCTGAACTGTTAGCGGTTATGTACTGCTGTGCGGACCGGACAAGTACATATTAAATAATTTCAATGGAAGAATTCAGTGCAACCGCTCAAAATGCATGGATTAGGAAAGTCAAAATATCTGAGTTTGCTAGATTTACCAAGGGACTTACTGCAAATCAATCGCTGTTTTGCAAGCAATGTAAAAATCAAAGCGAATTCTCTCACAAATTTGTGGTCTTCACAGCTAGGTACTTCTTTTCTTATAAATTCGCGTTCAGATTCTCCAAGAAGCGGGGATTCGGCTGAAGACTTTGAATGCCGCAGGTTTCAAGGAGTGAGCGACACAATTGAGTAGAAGTGCGACAATGCAACGGTGCAGTAAATAGCGCTAATGTGCCTCACACAGAGACCTGCCTCACCCGCCCTACATGTTTATTGTGCTTTAAGCTATCAGGCTCCATTGAACTGTGATGAGCATTTGTAGTGTACTAGTAGAGAGGCGCTATAGGCGATCTTGTAGGCTTTCGATGTATGGTAACAACAAACGTATTTCTGGTGTAGGCTTTATATATGGAATCAACAACTCTATTTATGGTTTAGGCTTTATATACATGGAAACAGTAGGAGTATTTATGGTGTAAGTTTTATGTATATGGAAACAACAGATTATTTAAGGTGTAGGCTTTATTTGAATGGAAACAACGAGTGTATTTATGGCGTAGGCTTTTAATAGATGGACACGAAAAATGTATATTTGGTTTAAGCTTCCGATATATGGAAACAATACATGTATTTATGGTGACACTCAAATAAGTGGACAGTTAGGAGCTTGGAAATCAATCACTGTAGTAAAATTGAAAACTTTTCAGTACCTACCATTGATGATGTATTAATGATTAAACGTTTATAACCCTATTTTAACACGTGTCCATGTTAATGATGCTCCATTGCACATTTATAAAATGAATCTCTTTACGGAAAATCGAAATGTTGGGCGAAACCCCCACAGTTCTAAAGAAAAGTTTTTCCTACCACCTCAAGTAAATACTGTATGGGGAAACTAATGCAAATTTTAATTGTCATGATTTAAAATCGATTGAACATAATTGTTCTACGTGCAGAGATAACATTCATATGATTAAATATGCTTAAATGATTGCTAGGCATGGGAATTTTCATTTCATTGCTAGGCATTTTCCTTATTAAAGGCAATAACTGACCTCCAATTTCAGCATTGCAGTACTCAAAATCTCAACACTAAAATTTTAATAATTTTGAGTACTATTAATGATTTTAAGTACTATTAATAATTTTAAGTACTATTAATAATTTTAAGTATTACTAATAATTAATAGTCCTTAAAGTATCAATAATTTTAAGTACTGATATTGTTAACATTAAAGCTCTCACAATTTTAACTGTAACTCACTCACAATTTCAACAATATAGAACTCGAAGTCTCCTCACAAAAGTTCTTACTATTCCAACTGTATAATACTCACCATTCAAACAATTAGGTGCTCATGATTTCATCAATAAGTTATTTACAATTTCATCAGTAATGTGCTCAAAATGTTATCAGTAAAGTACTCACAATTTTAAGAGCCATGACTTTTCTGGAGCCTCTGGCGTAGCAGAGAGCTTTGGAGCGCTGCTCGTTGAGCATGACGATGTGTGTCGCGTTCACAGCTACTCGGTAAATTTTTTCTGTAGGGAAAACAAGAATTTACCTATTAATTAAATTCTTTCAGATAGCATTTGCATTGCAAAAACGGCTGGTTACATTTATTGATTGAAAATAGGCAATATATATAGTCATTTTTTGGATAGTAGTCTTCTTATGATTTCAGGTGCAGCATAACTTACCATATTCTAACATTACCCCTACGTTGCTCACCCCGTAAATAAGTTGTCTCGAGAATATCTACCATGAATACTTGCATCTTTAATACAGAATTCGATAACGTACTACGGCTACAAATCTTCTCTAGCAAAGTTGTTATACGCGCTTTCTAGAGGACGCCTCTAGGGCTTGATAGAGTCGTCGTATATCTTAGCATTACCAAACTGATTTATGGTCAATATTTTGCCTGACAGTCTTTTTAGAAACATAAATTAAGACGTCGTGTACGGAGGTGAGTTGTGTAAGCACTTTTCAGAGCACGGGTAAATTCTTGAAGATCTTGCACACCGTAAATGGTCCGTTATTTCAATTACTTAAACCAGTAATTCAAATTCTAATCAGTAGCATTGACAGCCACGCTAACACAACGAATAGATTCCAATATTATTGGCCATAGATTATTTGTCCCGTGCAGTTAATAAGAGTACTTGACATTGTTTCATTCGAAACCATTTTGAATTTAATTTTAAGTAGCTGCGGCCGAGGTGAACGCAAGCAACTTTCACTCATCTTATCCAGTAAAAAATTTTACGATGCACATCTTGCAGTGTACAAATTCCAGTGTAAATCTTGCAGCGCACGAATTTCCAATTTAACTCTTACAGCGTAAAACTTTCCATTATATTTTCTTTTTATAGAAAAATTGACTCTGATGTTATGAACTGCTCATTCATCAATATATACACTCTGCACTTCATCGGTGGGTAATGAAGAAGCTGGAACGACTTTTACGGCAACCACAAATTCTATAACACTTTTACACTCCTTGGAATATTATGATCTTAAAGAGTGTTCAGTTAAAATCTAAAATGTCTCTTTCCAATAATAATTATATTTTTATTATAAATATCATCAAATTACATCTGAAATATTTAACACCCTCTCATTTTACATCAGCTCTGAGGTCTAACGTATCAGGATATCTGCCACTTGCTTACGGCTGCCTTCTGGACGCATAATGATCAGGCACTCGATCTCCTGCATTATTCATGAACACGAGTATTCATGTAATAGCTCATTCACGGAGACATTACTCACTGGTGAGGGAGGCAGAGGATAAAGCTCTTTAATCTCTCAGTAATGCCGAACGATTCTTCATCGCTGACTAAACCTGAAGCATCGGATGGCTTCGGCGTCGCGCTTTACAGGCAGCAGCACGATAAGTACTTACTCAGAATGTTCAATAACTAAAAAATGTTCACGAACGCAGAATGGTTACTAAAAAAAATGTTCACTAACGCAGAATGTTCACTATCGAAAACGTGTACACTAATGCAGAATTTTTGCTAATGAAATAATGTTCACTAACGCAGAATGTTTATGAACGCAGCATGTTCACCAGCGAAGACTGTTCACTAACACAGGGTGTCCACTAACGCAGGATGTACACTAACGCAAGAAACCTTGGTTTTCCAAAATTATAATCCTCATTCATTTAATAGAGTTAACCCTAGACTGTTATTGTTTCGATTTATAAAGTCTAACATTATTTAGGATTGACAAATAATCTGTCAGGCTTTTACTACTTTTCGCTTTTAATCGGTATCGTTTGGTTTGCAATCGTTCGTGTTAAATTTCGGCATGAATCGTTAGCAGTACAACATTACATTGTATCTGGTAGGTAAACGCATTCGAATATAATCTACGTGCTTATTATCTTATAAATATTTATGTATTATGGAGTGTATTAATAAAGTTAACATCAAACATCAATACATTACATCAATATACACATTATTGCAAAAAGCTCATCACAATACGCTATTTAACACATCAAATAAATTGTATTTTTAACACATCCCTGCAATGCTCACATCGTAGCAATTAGCACATAGCATCAATTACCATTACACCACTACAATTATTGTTATATCACATTATTTAGCACATCACGATATATAGCACATCTCATCAATTAGTACTCAGAATCAATAATCACATCCTATCAATCATCCCATATAATCACATAAAGACAAGCAGGCACTTAGCAGTGCTAGGACTCACGGCTGGGGTCGGAGGAGTCGCAGGATTTGAGGAGCGCGAGTTTAGGAGCGATGGTCACGCACTGGCCGGTCTCTGTGACGATGTGTGTGGCGGGCGCCTGACCGAGGCAACTTCGCAGCGGCTGATCACATGCAATCAAATACATCAATTATGATTCATGTGTAATAAATTTAGTAGATTAATTATTTAATTAATTTTGAGTTATTGTAGCAACGTGGCAGAGGCTGATCACATTCAATCAAATACATCAATTATGATTCATGTTTAATAAATGTATTATATTAATTAATTGTGAGTTATTGTAGCAACGTGGCAGCGAATGATCACATTCAATCAAAAACATCAATCATGATTCATGTGCAATAAATTTAGTATATTCATGAATTAATTAATTGTGAGATATTGTAGCCACGTGGCAGCGGCTGAAAGCATTCAGTAAAATGCATCAATTATCATGTATGTGGTTACTATTAGTTAATAAAGTTATTAAACTACGTAAAAGTAAGTAAATTGTATGTTATTGTGTAATATTCATTAAGTAAAAAAATTATTAGGTTTCGTTAAATTAATTAAACAGAATGTTGTTGTATACTTTTGAAATGGTTTTGTTAGCATTGGAGTTAAGATCGGAGTGTAATATTTTGCATCGTGAATAAGATAAGATCGAATTTTTGATACACCAACAACATCTGGCACGTATTCTATTTTAACATCGCTGAACAATATTATAGGATTTTCAATGTAAAGACAACGTCTTGCACACGTCCTATTTTAGCATGGCTAAAATACGATAAGATTGTTCACACATCCTTTTTAAACAACGAAGAAAATATGATCGGATTGTTAATGTAATTACCGTACATCATCTTGCACACATCCTACTTTAACGTAGCAGAAAAATATGATAGGATTTTTACTGTAAAGACATCTTGCAACATCGCTGATCGAGGACAATTCATGGCCAGATGCCCCCAAGAGTTCCTTATCAATGGTGATCGTGATATGTGAAGTAGAAGAGTTACAGGACAATGTCACTATTTATCGCAAGAATGTCATGTTATGTACAGAGATTATAAGAGCAAGTGTGTGGTCTCTCTAACAAGCCTGGAGATGTACTATCAAAAATAGCCCGTAGCTCCGTTAGTCAATCAATGAAGGCTTTTTAAGCTAAACCCGCCAATCACAAACGAGAAATTGGCCGCTACGTGTTCTTAAGGAGGTTTTGATAGTACACCCAGAAAAATTAAATAGGTCATACTGTCCAATTAGTGATACACGTTCTGCTAAGCCAAACTAGGTCAGGATGACCCACATGAAGGCAAAAAGTGCATCTTATTTTCGACAAAGTCTCACTCATTTTTTTGAGTGTACAACCCCTGCTCTATAGCAAGTAATGGTGACGTGGCACATTTTAGATTACATCAGATAGTATTGCTCGCCTCACCAAAATACAATTCACTTGAGAGTGTACCTGGAGAACTTTATCAGTCATATTACTCAAATCGTGGCACACTTTCGGGGAAAAATGGGTAGAAATAACCATAACAGAAGCATGAGGTGCATCGCTACCTGGACAGAGTTTCACGCATTTCTATGAGTGTATCATAATAGCGGTCTCACAATTTTATTCATAATCAAATAAGCCATAATTAATAATGAGCAATCAACGAAAATAACGTGAATAATTAAAAGGAAATATTCTTTATAATTATTCGATGCAAAAATTGTAAATAATTTGTAAATAATTTGTTTATGTAACTAGCAGTAAGATAATGTTAAATATCAATTATTATCTTTTGAATATAGAAATTTGTTTTCAAAATATATTATGATTATTGAATTTTTTACAGTCTATCTTTCCCAGTGAAATAATCTTATTTTTTTATTTAATGTAATGAATTATTACGTGTAGGTTTTCATGACTCAAAGTTGATATAATTTCAGTGATCACAGAAGCTCCAAAATTTCTCTTCAGGAAATCTAGGCGTAAAATTTCTGGTAATTGAAAAAATTACCCCAGGAAACTACCTAAAACTTAGGTGAACAACTGAGCTTCGTTTAAAATTTTTTAGGTGAAAATTCCTATGTATCCGAAAAGTAAAAATTCAACACTGTAAAATATTAAATAATCTAAACAACCCGTTAAATACGAAGATCAGGTGCAAATAAATATCGCTTACATGATTTTTTTACCAGCCGGTTGCAGTTAAGTTTAACAGTAAAAAAAACTGCTGAACCGCCTCATATGAAAACGTGAAAGTCTAGCCTATAAAATTCCAATACTGATTATAATATCCCAAAATATTCCCTACTATCGAGTACTCAACATTTCTACTCTCATATTCATTGGGGCATCGAAGTCTTGTTATCGGCAATGCGTATATTGTGCTCGAGCTACAGATACCGATACTGATAAGACGTACACAACGCAGCACTATAGACTGCACGCGCACACTACGTACCTCGTATACTGACGCGCACATGTATACCTTTGAACTCAGTTGTGCTATGTACACATAGTTTACACATGCAACGTGAAGCACCATTAAAGGCTTTATACAAAATAACGATTTAAAACATTTGGTTAGCTAGAGATTACTGAATTAATTCATAGGTTTTTATAGAATTTAACATTTAGTTAATTCTATTTTTTTGGTTAGTTAAGTTAATAATTTAGTTAATAAGTTTTGCAATTAATTTGCAAATCTGTCATTCATGTATTAAAATGAGTTTGTTGATGCAACATGCAGCACTCACCAGTATCAGGATGATTAAGATTATGAGAATGAAGTGTAGCAGTCTGCAACAAAAGAAAAATAGATATTAGTTCAAATTGAACAAAAGTTTTCTTACAACAATATTCCTAAACAGCTCGCTTATTATTATTATTAATAAAATCTACAGGTGCAAATTCCGGTGCCATGATGCAACACCAAAAGTCTAGGTGTAGTCTGCTGTACCGCGTGCCCTGGTGTAACATTCCTTCCAATTGTGTCACACCCAAAGTCGGTGTAACTCCCTATATAAAATCTGGTGCAACACATGCCCTGGTATAACACCCACGTGCTCCACTTACACAGCGTGACAATTGCTCCTTCAGAGCACAAGTCTCGTCTCTGAAGTCTCGTCTCTGAAGTTTATGGCAAGCAAACGACCTGAATTACGCGACCACTTGCCTCTCGTCGAGACATGCGCACTGTGAAGCGCAGGTTCGAACAGCCACATTAAATGAGTGCTGAGGTATTGAATGCGTGCATCGAACAGACATAGAACATATAAGACTTATGTGCGCAATTTTTAGAGAATGTATATCGTTTATGTATAACACATAAAGTAAAGTAGTAGAGATCATTTACACTTTGGTATGGATATTATGATGGACATTGGATATTTAGTATGCATGAGAAACATTATCTCGTATTAATATATTTATATCGCGGGCGAAAATATAAACAAAGTATCTGCAGAATGGGAGAAATTACGTAGAAAACTGCTTGTAATTTATAAAGTGCATGCAAAGTTTCTCGTATATGCATTGATTAGGCAAACTATGAAACATTCCCGTCGATATTTGATGCAGTTGATGTATAAGTTTCTTTAAAAATGTAATTTGTCTACTGATAAATACGAGTACTTGGAAATAAAACGTGTGGTATATACACTATAAAAAATTCACCAGTAAAATTCTCATGTGGGAGAATTAATGAGAGATAGCGGTAATTCTCGGTATCTGTGATACGACACAACTAATCAACAATATTGCGTTAAATTAATTTAGTTTCTTTTATTAGCGTGAATTTTTATGATGAGGCTCTATAAAAAACCGATCTCCGCAAGTAAAATGAAACTAATTTATCCACTAAATTCTTTCTTAGCCAGTTCATCACATGATATTAATTTGTAATTCTAGTCAGCCTATTATTAAAACCATTAAAGTTTACGCCGTCAAAAAAACGGGGAAGAATTTAAGGGAACATTTTTGAAGAGAATTCTTTGGCAGCGACTTGTTAGTCAAGATATGCTTGACTTTGTTCAACCTGTCCCTGAGGAATGCGACTGATAAGATTGTCATTTCTGCCTTTCAGGTTATCAGACTTTTAACATGTGTCCTCAAAAATACATAAATGTCTAATTAGGAATATACAAATAATTAGGTTAATAGAAATACTCAACATTTTTGAAGTGAACGAACAACAGGTGCATTATTAAACGGCTTGTATTAACTTTTCTATATAAATACTGCGAGTATTTTTTATATAAATGCGGTGATATTTTTATGGTTTTTAAAGTCAATCAAGTGGATAGCCTTGTACTCATATTCACGCTTAATTGCGCGTGTTCAAACTGTTTTGAAACATGGCGCCCGAGTAGAGAATCACAATAATCGAATTTAAATCCGGTTCCAAAATAATTACATTTAATTTACTGGAAAATAATGATTCATTTTCAGTCGAACAGAATGAGCTATTTCATTAAATTCAAATTTTGTATGCAGGCTCATTTGAAGGCATAAAGTCAGTGTACCACCCACACGAGTAACCTCGTCTCAATCCTTCTTGCCAAACACAAAAAGATTTTGCCAAAACTAGTCAAGCACAAGCAGATTTAGCCAAAAGATTTAGCCAAAAGCAGCCAAACGTCAGCAGATTTTGCACAAACCGCCAACCGCAAGCCGATTTAGTCAAAACTAGACAACACACGCAGATTTATCTTAAACTAGACTAGTACAATCATATTTAACCAAAAGTAGCCAAGAACAAGCAGATTTAGTCAAAGGTAGCCAACTGTCAGCCAAGCGAAGAACTTGTACGCTCTAAGGGTTTAGTCTCCATTCCGGAGTTGTGCGGTTTTCTGCCTACAAAAGCTAAATTAAGTGTAAAAACCGAAATAACCGCAGCTGAAGAGATAAAAAAACTCAACTTCTCATGGAAGAAGGAAAGAAGGCTGAAAAAGTTACCAGCTATAGCGTTTTCAACATTAATAATTTCTAAGAAAAATTAAGACGAAAATACTTCTCGTAACAGTGAACAAGTCGAAGAAAATTATTTCCTTAAGTTTTAATTGAATGAAGAAACCGTGTTTAATCACATAAACTCCATTTATAAGATTGTAATTTTTTCATATTTTGCTGGCAAACTACAAATGAATGCGGGAGTCGATATTGTCCACAGTGAATTGGCTTCAAGCAATAATAGAGTATCATAATTTATGTAATTTTAAATGTAGAGAATGGGAGCATTCCAAATTTCTCTTAAAAACACAGATACATTTTTTCACCGGAATCCTAACCTTTTGGAGATTGCCGCAATGCATTTCTTGTGCAAAAACTAATAAGCTTTTTTCCTCATCCCAATCAAAAAACTTACTGCCATAACAAAAGTTCGGTGCAATTTTATCCGGGTTCATTTCAAACAGGAAAAGCTATATTTTCGTGCAGCGCGCCAAACATTTCTCGGAAAACACATCTAGCAGATTGAATTTTTACAGATAACGGCTTACAAAATTCTTTTGCAACATGGTCAATATTTTCTGAATTTTCTATTATCCTTTCCAACCAAACATCGCGAACAGTAGAGCTTTGTGGGCACTTGTTATTACCACTATACGGCGTCTTTAACAAACATGAAGCTATTTGTAAACTGATCAAACTGTGTGAATTGCACAACCGCCTGGCACGTGCGACTCCGGAGATCCGACCTTCAGCAACAATTCGTGGGACAAATTATTTTCAAAATTTTTCGCCTCAAGCATTTCGAGCTGAAAATATTGAACCTGTTCTTTTGGCTGCTGGATCTAACAAAATAAGAAAGTTTTCGATTTTCTATGTGAAATTTAGTTTTCTGAAATTCGTGCAGATTCTATTGTTCTGGAATTGGAAGAAAACCAAAAAAATATTAAAATTATTTTTCCTGAACCGCAATGTTTTACTGAATTTGCTAACCTTCATAATTTTTCAAACAAAAATTCAGCACCCTCTGTTTCGAACAAAGTTTTATCCCAGTTGCGAAATTTTCTGGGCACTTATGGGCTAATGAGAACTTTGCGGATAAATTTCAGTTCTTTTTCAGAGTTTAGCGATGAAAAGAAAACTTTTAAAGGTAAAAGATTAATATGAAGGGAAAACCAAAGTCAACATTTGTTCAGACATAACCAACAGTTCCTTGCATCTCTGGCTACCCGAACCCGTTGTTTTTCGAGTGTCTGCCACCCACGATCGGTAAGAAAATGCATGGCTCCCGATGAGTACAGTTCCCGAACAATTGTCGCCCATTGCTTCGTCTCTATTCTGAAGGCCGGATAATTACATACAAAAAGACAAGTGTTCCAACGAGCAGTGACCGCAAGCTATACAAAAAATTCTCATGAGCTTCCCAGACGCAGTAAAAAGGGGGAAAGATTTTACCCGTGCATCGTTACCATAGATTATATACTCGACATCGGCGCCAGAAAATAATAATAATATCGAACAACATTGAAATGTAAGTCCATTTTTCATGTAAAAACATAAATAGGTTATGAAAATTTATGAGAAGAGAATGTGAACGGAGAAACAGAGTTAATAAAATTAATATTTCTAAGTTTTTTTGAAATTTCGTCCAGCTCATCAGTCAATGAAGAAAATTGAATATTAAGAGTCTACCTGCCCAGTAAAATATCTCAATGATCATTCCCGAATAACCAGAAATTTCAGCAAAATATCCCGGTGTATTATATTTTCGTGTCTCATTGTATTCCAATTCGAAAAAGGCATTGACTTCAACAAAATTCACCAGTTTGTAACTCAAAAACCGGATAGGCCACTCCGCAGAAATCCTTCTCAATAAAACAATGACAGAGATTCTAGAAAAAAATCACACTTTCAATATAAATTAGTTATACTTTAGACTGTTACATATATGTTAAATCATAATCAGGTCAATTATTTTCCATGCTACATGAGCGCTCTCATTAATAAAGAATGCGCTGAACCCAGCATTACAGCCGGTCATACAAGAAGGTTAAACCCCATAGCATGAATTGCTTGCACTGATAATTGATTTATGCTCGTTTGTGATGACGTAAAGTCCAATAATGGTGAAGGTGTTGGGGCAACAACGTTTGTTGTTATGCGGTTGGTCACAAGCTTGTGACGGGCGCTTGTTTACGGACACCAACTGCGAACAACTCCACCGACATCCACCGACTTCTCTACCGACATCCGCACCTCACGCTCATGCCTGCATATCATTCAATTCCTTCCATTCGACCGAAAATACTGTGCACATTTATGTACTGAACACATTTATGTGCTGAGCACATTGATGCACTAAGCACATTGATGTATTAAGCACATTAATGCACTAAACACATTGCTGCATTAAGCACATTGCGAAACGCGATTTTATTTGGTTTCAATTCGTGGTCCCAAAGCAGCAAAAATTAGCCAAAATTTCATGGTTATAAGTTTCAAAATTTCACTACACGCGGTATTTTTGAGCAATTGAAGTGAGACGAGATGATGGTGATGATTTTCTAAGCTATTCAAGTGAGACGAGACGATAATGCAGATTTTTTGAGCTAGTGAAGTGAGACGAGGCGATAGTGACGATTTTTTGAGCTGTTGATGTGAGACGAGACGATAGTGATGACTTTTTGAGCTATTTAGGTGAGACGAGGCGATAGTGGTGATTTTTTTTGAGCTGTTGATGTGAGACGAGACGATAGTGATGATTTTTTTGAGCCGTTGATGTGAGACGAGGCGATAGTGATGATTTTTTGTGTTTACCGAAAGAATCAGCGATGTTGGCGCTCACGACGGCGGCGAGTAGCTTCAGATGCCAAATCTTATCCTGTAGTTGTTAATGTGAGATTCAAACAGTGGGATGGCGGCGCCAGAACTGAGAACCAATTGAGAACTGAGAACTGAGGTGACAATTGGCACCAGGCCACCTTCAGGTGACACTTCTCGAACACATATTCTCAAGTTCTTGTATCAACAAGTTCTCCTTAGCACTTCTAGGATCCTAGTGAAAAGTTAAGTCTCAAATTAACCTTTCTGAAGATTTTCATAAGTTATCTCAGATATCACAACTTCAACAAGTTGCCTCCACAATCTAGTCTCTGGCTGTTAAAGTTACTCTTCAAGCCTTTTGCTTACAAAAAAACTTTTATTAATAATAAGCGAATATTGCCTAAGCTTCTATTCAATTTGGATGCGATAACGTATCACTGGAATTTTTATTGTGGAATATGCGACTCAACATCTAGTGGTTTAATCGTGCAATCGTACTAACTGGTATTACTGGTATTGTTGACTTTCACAGAGGAGACCGACGTACGTCTAGGCTATTTAAATTAACGACGCTATAAATTTGGTTTATTCGCAAGAATCTTAATTGATTTTTCGATGAAAGCCATGCAACAACACTTCATTGAGGAGTCTGGGTTAGAACAAAGTCAGTTAAGTGTGTTTAAGAATGTGTTGAAATTCACACACCAAGATTCCCTCTGTTTCACTCAATTCGGAAGTATATGTTCAACATCAATTCGATGTAATTAAAAAAGATTTTTAGGACATATAATAATTTTTTTGCGCGAACTGGGTGAACTCATGAACTTCTCTTATATTTATTGTAACAAACCCATACCGTTAACCAGAGCTTTCCTGCCTTCTTACGGCAATATTAAAGTGAACGAAACAATACCTGTAGAAGACACGCATACTCGTATAGCTTATTTCGCCAGCTTTTTTTTCATTCCTAGCGTAGCAGAGCTGCTCTCAAATTGAGCTTGAGTTGTAAAGTTTGCCGAGCAGAGACAAATTTGTCGAGTGCCTCTGACTTGTCTATAGACGCAGAGATCACTGCCCAGCCTAGCACACTTCTCAAGCCGACACCAAAATATACAGAGCTCTTGACACGAGAACCTGGTTGCGCACAATAGGTACAAGATCGTGCATGTGCAATAGGACCGAGTCCTTGTCTAGCGAAAAATGGAATACCTACGAAAAAATCCACGTAGCAGGATGAGCGGCGTCATTATTGTTGCTCCCCATTTAACCCAATTAAATTAAATCAATTGTCAAATTCCACCGTTTCCATTGAATTTTTAAATTCACTCGCTTTCCAGATTATCTAGTCAAATCAAATTCACTCACTGATCTTGGACGCCTTTCTTAGATTTATTCTCAGGTTAGTCCGTATCCTCAGACATGCTCAGTGAATTCGCACTTGAGTAACTGCGCGCTCAGTCCATCTTGATCGATCGAGCGCTGTGCTAGTTTGGAGTGTGCAAGAACTGTGCATTATGCATGTCAATGTACAATCTTGTTGATTTAGACCGCCTGCGTAACGGCCGAGAAAACAGGTGCGTTAGATGGATCGCTTCGCAAAATTCCCGTTCAGAAGTTAATTTGCATCCAGACGATATTTTTTGTCTGAGAAAAAATATTCCAGTTCAAGGAGATTTGTAAGACAGCTCAGCGGAATGATTACCACTTTGCAATTAGTCTGAACAGGTGAAGGATTATTGCAGGTGACCTAGGAAATGGGAGCTTAATGAAATTATATTTAAATTAAAACTTCTACGTTATTGGAAAAATAGGAGACCGATAGATAATTTTTAAGGATCCATCTTAATTTTGAATCAGATTTGAAAATGGAACATGAGCAGACTATCGTGTAATTAATTTAATAGTTATTGTTTTCGGTCCTTTAATGATCGCAATATTACATCTCTTGTCATAGTTTTCGTTATCGTTGCAAGAGCTTTTCCTTTATCGATCTGTTACGTTCGTTATCACTTTGATACAATTTTCTTACATTCATAATAATCCACTTTCTGTAATTATGCAATTCAATATCATTATAATTCTATTTAAAGTGTCATCACATGATCGCAGGTGGTCTAGCGAAGAAGTGGGCAGAGGGGGGCGTTTCCCCACACGGGTCGCCTTACGACGCGAGGCTCCCATGTCCTTTCCCAGACTTCGATCGCAGTCAGCGGGCGTAAAAAAACTGCGTAAAGGAAAGTATCTACGCAACTGAAGAAGAAATCGAGCGTTAAAACTGAGCTCCAAGTGTATGTTGCTGAGAAAATTTGGGCTTACTGAAAAATAAAACTTAGCGTCAGGTATCAAGGCAAGTGACGAGGCAAATGGCACAAGGCAAATAAGTTGTTAAGATCAAGGTCATTCTTTGATGGCTTTGAGAATATGAGCTAAGTAGGAGCTGCTGTTATAGAAATAAAGTGTGGGGGCTATAATAGGAAATTAAAATTGTACTGTGGTGTATTTAAGTTCTTAGACAATAAATGACAATGAAAATATTAGCTCGAATTAGCTATGATGCATCTAAAAATTTGAGTTTCACACTTGAAATAGCCCAACAGTTTCGTATGTTGTGAAAGCGCATGAAGTTGGAAAATATTTTAGCACGAAATTTGAAAATGATCTTAGTTATCAGGTTTTTTTTATTAGAAAAGAAAATTGATCATAACAGCCTCTGAGTTCTGACGACAATTAAGCGGTGCGTATTTAGAAATTGAAATGGGGACTGACATCACTTCCGAAACTATGATCAAACAATGGTTATTTATAGGTCTACCTCCGAAATATGAAGTTAGCGTCAAAATTGCCGGGTGATGTTGAGATTAGTTCTAGCGTTGGCATGACATTTCGAAAATAGATTCAATTTAGGCATGTAATATTGCCATTAGTTTCGCCTAAGGGATGGGGTACTGACAAAGGTTCCTACTAATTTATTAAATGCTGGAATTACTTTCAACTAAGTTTTCAAATAATAAAATTAGTTTCAACTAGGTTATTAAATATCGAAATTAGTTTCCACTAAAACGTTGAATGTAGAGATTAGTTTCACCTCATGCACGGAACGTTGAGTTTATACCTTCATCTCATGAGCAGAACGCATTAAAGTCTACGGTGCACACTACCCGTTTTTCGGGACCCTGGCACCACGATATTTTGCTGACGCAGCATCGTCGCCGAGCTAGAAAGGCTGGTATTGTACACAATTGCTCAACGCTCATTATTCACGAGCTTATTGGGAAATGTGAGGATTTAATGGGAATTAAACGTGATTGCACTGCATGTATAGAGTTTCATAGCATTCATTTCCCCCATGGCGATATTGGTTCTATTTCACTTCGTACATTAAGTTATGTCTGTTGAGAAAAGTTTGTTTGTATCCCAATTGTTATACAATAGTTCATAATAATATCAATTTGTCAGAGAAAATAAATTTTAAAATAGTCTTCATAACACATTAATGAACATTACTAAATTCTAAATGTAATTCATGGAAAAAAATTACAAATACAAATCCTAGTGCTTCATCGGCATTAAATATATTTTATAGTGTCGCTCTTCCTCCGGGGTTCAGCTTGACGACAGCATCACGGCATTCATTAACATGCAACACTTGAAACCTAATGGACATGGCTTACAAAATAATCATATTATTAATTACGTGTATTGTGTAATGCATTGGCTGTTGCCGAGCCTTACATGCACCGTCAGCAAAACTGTTATGATTTTTTTTTTAGTTTCATTATTGAGAGCAGAGGAATGAATGTCGACGAGCCATGCAGTTCTCTCGTCTGACACGAATTTTGTACGGGTAAATGGCAATGAATTTTGTGTACAAAAAAAAAACAATTAGTATTATAATAAAATTACTGAAATTAATAGGTAACACAAATAATGCTGCAATTGAGGTGCTCTTTACAATTTTATGAAAGAAAATTCGAATTAAATAAAATTTAGCCGTCCAGATGTTATGCAAATTGAAGTGATAATGAAGCTCATGCATATTGATCGTAAAATTGCAGTTCATCAATTTCAGAGACTTATTTTTTCATTCAGTCTGTGTAGCGGCGATCAATGTATGAGCAAAAGTATGCTGACTCAAACACACATGTGATAAAATATTCCATTCTGGTAAAATAAGCGCTTCATATGCTTAATTTAGCCACAAATAATGTGTGTCGCATTCGGATAAACATAACTTTAGCCCATATAATTCGAAATTCGAGTACAGTGTAAAGCATTACGAAGGAGAAATTTATCATTCAAAGGTCTATTAATTTATAATGAAAATTGGAGTTTCACTTAAAATTTTATTGTACGTACCTTTGAAATATCATTTAAGTCGCTTGACAAAGCATTGAGTCGCGACGAAGACCTGTGTGACCATGGGTGACACAGGGTGACTTCGCTGTGCGAGCTCGCAGGTTCTTTTGAGATAATCACACAATTGATCACCACAGTCAATGTTACTGCACTGCTAGGCAATACCAATTTCAATTCAAATTCAGCACAGAAGTCGATAGTTTGATAAGCTAAATAATTCAAACGATTTTGTAGATGGCGTTTGATTTTTCCTAGAAATAAGGCAAAAATAATGGAATTCTTCCAACTGCAGCTACCGGTAGAAGATGGATTGGGTGGTAAGGAGATTGGTTTTGGGTGATTAGAGCGTGACAAATCGCTACCCTGAACCAATATCACGCTCTTGGGTCTCTTTTTTATATGTGAAGCTTGGCGTGAGTGTGTCGTGTTTTCGGTGAACGATGCAGTCGATGGCAAAAAGCTCGATAAGAAGTGCCACCGAGAGTTTGCTGTGTTGGATCCTCTGGCACAAGGATGCTTTGTGTTAGACGGTCGTGGCTTGTAGACTCTTAAGGCTTGTCGATGTAGTCGCAACGGAGGATATCTATCAATGCGACGAGGAGGATATCTGTCACTGCGACGTGGAGGATATTTGTCACTGCGACGTGGAGGATGTCTGTCACCGCGACGTGGAGGATATTTGTCACTGCAACGTGAAGGATATTTGTCACTGCGACGTAAAGGATATCTGTCACTGCGACGTGGAGGATGATAGCGCTGTCCGTCTTGCACCAAACGCCTCCACCGCATTCTAACGCTGATTTCTGGTATGTGGCAGAGCGCAAGGCGCTACTCCAACGCTCGAAATTTAGGTAATATCGCAGAAAATCGATCGGTATCATTTAAAAGTGGCCGGATCTCCATTAAATTTCTCAATAAAAATCCACGGTTTCTTTTTTATTTTGAAGCTTTGTTCTCATTTTAACTTTCAGCAAACAGGCGAATTTTTTCTGTGTTAATTTCAGGCTTGTTCAAAAAGTTATGAAATTTTAAAGAACAATAAATCTCAGCCTATTTATCTGGGTATTTAGACGACAACAGATCAATCTCACTTCACGGAGGACACGTTCTCTTGACATTCGTTCAAGGCGATACTAATTTTTTATCAGGACCAGTGAATTATCCTCCACAGCTTCGACGAAAAGGTTCAATAGATAAGACAGAGTGTGCACGTTGGTAGCGTACGCAGCGTTGATAAGAACTATGTAGAAGTATTTGCAATCTAGACAACATCAGTTCTCGTTAAAGATCCCAACACACAGGTGACACTTTCTCAAGTTTTTCAGATAGGAAAATACTCATCACTGTTATGTGGAATTTCTAGGTAACGGAATGACGATAAAACCTCTAATGAATTGGTCGTTTCCACAATAATGTCTAGAACTCAGCACGGGGAAAGTTTGAACTCTTATTTTAAAAACATCCACCGTACTGTGCACAGAAAATAACAAAATATTTGCGTCGTTCTCTCATGACCATTGAAAATTTTCAGTTCCAAAATTCCATTAAAATTTTCAGCTGACTTTTTTCCACGTCAGGTAAGAAGGTGCTCCCATCAGTACATACAAAGGCAATTGTTAGTTTCACAAGAGAACATAAGAACTCGAGGCTAGAACACAGTCAAGAGGCAGGAGCAAAGGAAGGTAATGGCTAACCGAGCACTGTCACACACACAACAATCGAGGCACTGAGTTACGCACGTCCGTTCAGGTCGACGTCTCGTCTACAAATGGCCTGGCTTCTCGGGAGGCGCGCGAGAACAGCGGCCAAAGCTCCGCGAACTTCAAGTGACCAAGCCTATGCCTTTGTACCTGATGGAGGTGGGCTTGTGATGTGATGGAGGTGGGCTTGTGAGGTGATGAAGGTGGGTTTGTGAGGAGGTGATGGAGGTGGGCTTGTGAGGTGATGGAGGTGGGCTTATGAGGTGATGAAGGTGGGTTTGTGAGTAGGTGATGGAGGTGGGCTAGCTTGTGAGGAGGTGATGGAGGTGTGCTTGTGAGGTGGTGATGGAGGTGAGGCTTGTGAGGAGGTGATGGAGGTGGGCTTGTGAGGTGATGGAGGTGGGCTTGTGAGGAGGTGATGGAGGTGAGCTCGTGGTTTTTAATAACATATAAGGGTTTTTCGGGGTTTTAAAGCCAAACCCACGGTTTGAAAATCATAAAATAAGGGTTAAGAAGGTGATGGAGGTGAGACTCCCAATTAATTGGAATTGGATTACCAATTAGGGACTCTAAAGTAGAAGGATGCAGGTTTGGAGGTAGTAGATGTAGGCGAAAGATGAATAAATTAATTAAAAATAAGAAGTGTAAATAAGAATAAAGTTAAAATGGATGATTGCAGGAGAAATTAAAAATAGAAAATGGAAAGTAATGGGTTGGTAATTAAAGTAAGATTCGTAACCGGTAAAAATTTATTCATACTTTTTACCGATCTTTGGTCTCTGTATGAGTGTCCCACGACATGAATCTAATGATGCTTTTCCGAAGTCCTTATTTGGGAAGGCTGTTTTCCTAACTTAAATTGGGCCCCATTCCTACATTTCCTCACACTCTTTTAAGAATCATTTCCTCAGAGTCCTTTTATAAGAATCATTTTCATAGAATACTTGTAGGATCATTTCCTTACACAAATTTAAGATTCATTTTCTTACATGATGAAAAGTTACTGGCCGGAACTGCTACTCATTCTTCGAATTTCCTACTTTAATTGGAACTAAATTTCATTTTTTCTGTTCGCATATCGTAAAATTATTTGAGAAGTTTATGATCGTGTTCCCTTTTGCTGGGAAACATTCATAACTTTATTTCTCAACATCACATCTTTTTCTAGTGATTTCGATTTCCGTAATCTGCCGTTTATCCACTTTCAACTATTATGACAAGTGACGTTCGTTTCTTTGAACAGACGATCCGCAGATTAAATTGTACAGTTGTACACGTGCGCGAATGGGTGATCAAACAGTTATATGTTTCAAGCTTTCCTTCGGATTCATTCACAAATGTTACCACAAAATTAATTAGTGAAAAAAAAATAATCAACTTCCGTTTCCTTCACAAAACTTTACTTCTTTCCCGTAGCAGATCAAATGTAGTTTGCAACCCTCACTATCTTTCAAATACTTATAATTATTTTAAAAACATTAAACCTATTTATTTTCACACCCGAGTGCTTCAAATCTGCTGCTTCTAAGCTGCCATAAAATGCCACGCGCCAACGATGTTTTTTATTGAAATACTTGGAGTTAAGCGAGCTATTATCTGGCGTCAGAGCTGGGATCTTCTCACGCTCACTGACACATTTCCGGTGAGGCATGAGATCTAGACGAGCTTCCTGAGAGCCCGCTTGCGTCATGCTGCATACAACTCTAATCGTATACAATTTTGGGATAGCTGCTCTAAATTAGCAATGATATTTTAGTAAAGTTTGGTCAAAGTTATTTTTTTAAGTTATTGCTGTTTGAAGTTGTTTGAAAAAGCAATGATATTTTAGTATAGTTTGGTAGTAGTTGTTTGATTAAGTAATTGCTGTTTGAAGTTGTTCGATTGAAAATAAAATATTGGTTATTATTTTATATTGTTTGTTTGCTCAAAGAGTCGAACGATATTTTTTGCCAGCAATGGTAGATCAAGATGATTTTTTCAACTGACATTTTGATGTATTAACAATGTTTCGAATAAATAATATTTATCAACTTTTTAAAAATTTATAAAGAGTTAAAACATGCTAACCAATGCAATGTGTTGTGTACAAGTATCAACTGTAAGTATTATGATAAAGTTCTCAGACTAATGATGGCGTCGGTCTTCGTAACTTGTTCATTGAATAACACGGACAAATTTTCTTTCCATAAATTCTGTTCATTTTTTCTTGTTTGAATTCAAATTTTTAATCAATTTATGAGTTATAAGCATTCATTGTACATGATCAATTTTATTTTATGGGCTTTTTCTTGAGAAAACTAATTTTGTTCCTTTTTACCGATAAATCATAACGATAAAAAATTATATTACCGATAAATCATAAATATAAAAAAATAAAATTGCCGATAAATCATGACGATAAAAAATTAAATTACCGATAAATCATGACGATAAAAAAATTAAATTACCGATAAATCATAGAGATAAAAAAATAAAATTGCCGATAAATCATAACGCTAAAAAAATTAAATTTCCGATAAATGTTAAAGATAAAAAATTATTTTACCGATAAATCATGACGAGATGACTGACGATGAACGACGTAACGAAACCTAATGAAAGTATTTGCACGAATGTGCGGCTCAAATGCAAGAATTTCAAACCAAAACTCAAGAAATTTGAGCAAAGTTTAATGAAGATATATTATTCAATTAACTATAATAATAATATAAATATAATATATTAAGCATATATTATTCATACCAGATAATCTAACGTGTGTCTCACTACCATGACGTGTAACTGACTACTATGACGTTTTAACAACGTTATAACTCGGCTCAGTTCATGGTGAGTAAACAGTTTACGTTTAATTTGTTCAGTTCACGCCCACGGTGAAGAGTCGCATAAATATACCTCGGCCATTGCCTAGATGTGACCTCTCACCCATAATCCACGCAGGTATTACCGTTAAAAAAACATTAAATTTTATTCCTGTTTCATCCGCAGCAACTCACATATCCCAGACCAGACATTTTAAGGACTCGGCGATAATTCGAAGTTGTATTATAAAAATAAATTTTATATCTACTTTTGGCAAGAGTCTTCCTGACCGAGACTACGAGTCATTCATTGGCAATTTGGTTTTAAACAGTGATTAGCAGCTAGAACTTAAAAAGGGATTGGAAAATGGAAATTAAATGTTGATTGGCAACTGGAAATTTAATAATAATCCACAAATTTATAATAAAAACTGATTGATCACTGGACATTAAGCAGAGATTGGCAGCTGGCATCATACAAAAATCGGCATCTGGGCATTAAAAAGCGATTGTTCCTAGACGTTAAAAAGTAATTGGTTAAGTTAGTAATAAGTATTAGTAACTTAATATCGAGTTAGTTAAGAGTTACTTGATATCAAATTCTAATTGATAACTCTGTATTGAACCTTGTTTGCAGCTCGACATTAAGCATTAATTGAGAACTGTATTTCAAACGACTGTAATATTTGTACATGTATATATATATATATGACATCAGGAGAACAGCAGATACGAGAGACTCGACTATATATAGCAGGCCGGGCACTGCAAGACCTTGTTGCTATGCGACGTCAAAGTTCGTTTTTCCTTGCAACCTTTAATAATATTCAAAATTCTCAAGCTAACTGTGCATCAGGCACGTCATGCTTAATTGTATTCACTTTACTCAAGTTTTCCAGCCAAAATTTTCCACATTGTTGATAAAATAAATGATCAAACATCGTGAATTTCCATATTAATTAACTCAGTGAACTATGCTACATTTTTTATCTTCCAATGAGGCATCTGGTAAAAAATCATAGATATGAAATTTTTTTTCGCATGTCACACTTTTGGTTTTGTCCCTCAGGTATGGAGGGAGTGGTTTGAGTGGAGAAGGGTTCCCCCAAGTTGGTAGGGGTGGAGGTAGGGAGAGGGGAGAGATTTTATCACAAAGTGAAGGAGATAAAAAGCCATCATCGTGCGATGCACTCGTGTCGTATCAAGTCTTGTATTTTGCATGGGGGGGAGGGAGACCGGGGGGGGGGGGGGTCACCCACAGGCGACATGCAGGCTACGAGCTTCAATTTGACCTACAATGAAAAGTAATAGAAATATATATGCATAGGTATATTGCATAATATACAATGAAATATAATATAGTAACTTGGTATAGCTGCATCATTTCATATCATATTGCAAAAACTGGCGATCCTTAAAGCGATAAATAATATCAAATATATAACAATTTATTATTCGAGTAAGGATTTTTATTGATGGAACTCAATACGAAAAAAATATTATGAATTTCATTTTTTCAATTTGTTATGGCTTACATAAAAGTATTTACTGTAAGATATATGGATGAAGTAATATAGCAAAAACAAAGAAATTTCAGAAAGTTAGGTGGCCTCTTGACTGCTACATTATAAAGCAATTCACATTTTTTCTAAAAAGAGTAAGAATAACCTACATAAATATCTCTTCGACATTTTTTATACATTATAGCATACATTCTAAATATTTATAGCATATATTCTATTGATTATCAAACTATTAAATCAGTTGGGTAAATAAAACGCCCAAAAGTTTTGTATCTGTGACCAAAAAAATATAAACCTGAGCAATGATGTTCGGTGCGCGCGCAGCTTCTGTTTGAGAACCGTCATGTTGGAAGGTGCTTATCAGTGATATGAACTATCAGCTGTATATCGTATGTATATCAGCTGTATATTGTATACTACGAGGCCGTATACATCGCTAT